CGGGCTCCCTGCTGACGACGGGGGGCTTTCTCTGCCACTGGGGAGCGAGGTGGACCCAACCGTAGACCCCGGGCCTCGTCTTGCACGTTTCCCAGGCCACTCTGGTCTCAGTCAGTCCAAAGTTGCACAACGGTCTCGATCGGTCCAAAGTTGCAAGACCAGCACTTTTTCTCTGGATGGCGGCCCGGGGTGGGCTGCACCGGCGCTCAGGTCTCGGTCCGCAGCCAGCGGGCCCTCTGTGGGCCTTGACCCTGGGCCTCCCCCAGGCTGGCCGGCCTGCCCTTGCTCAGCTCCAGCCCCCTCCTCCTCGCAGCTGCGACTCGACCCCCTTCAGCAGCCGTTTTCCCATCCTTCCCGTAATAAAAATTAGAATTCTGTCTCCTGCCCACTGGATGGGACCCCAAGACAGCGTGGCCTGGTGCCCACCTTGTCTGACTGCTGCCTGGGCCCGGCCATCTGAAAATACGCATCCCTTGACCCCTCTCCCTGGGGCCCTGTGCGTGGGGGGCCCTCTCCGGCTGCCTTTCTGACTTTGTTTGCTCCCCCCGCCCCGCCTCCTTCTGCATACAGCCTGCAGGCCCGGCCACTTTCCTGGAGGATGGATTCCCAGGGGAAGTGCTGACGGCGCCCGGAGCCCATGTGCCTTCCCACACTTGCGTCCCCACGTCTCACTCACTAGCGGCCACAGGTGGCCTGGCCCGAGGCGGGGCTACCCTGCACAGGTTGGGGGGAGAGGAAACATTCTCCTGGTGGGGACAGGAGATGGGGGTGGGCAGCAGGTGTGCGGGCCCCAGGCCAGGCCAGCAGGACGCCATCTTGCTGCCCTGGGACGCTGCCCACAGGGAGAGGGCCTCCGACTTCAGACAGTCCTCAGCTCATCGGTTTTACAGCCCCTTGAGCGGTCTTTGCTTTATTGGGGTAAATACATGTGACGTAGAAACCGCCGTCGGGCCCATGTGTCGGGGAGCAGAGCAGCAGTGTCAAGCACCTGCCCGTTGCTGTGCAGCCGTCACCACCTCTCTGGACTCTTCATCTTCCCAGGCAGAAGTCCCTTGGCCCCCGCCCAGCCTCCTTGGGCCTAACCCCTGGAGGCCGACGGACAGGGAGGCCGCTCTGTGTCACCTCCTCAGGGGCTGCCTGAGACACAGAAATGTCGACTGGTATTCCCCAAGTCCCAGGGCTGGGTCGTGGCAGCAGGGCCCCGGGTGGACAGACGGGGACATGGCGGAGGGCCCTGCGTCCCAAGGCAGCAGCCGTGCGACCCACCACTGGACGAGGCTGGGGCCCTGCCGCCCACCTGCCTGCTGGAGGGTCAACCACACAGCCCTGACAGCCAAAGGGGTGTCTCACCTTCCAGCCTCTGGCTGTCATTAGCTGCTCCCCGGCTGGAGGTGTGGGCCCTGCAGCCAACGGGGATCCAGGCTCGCGTGCGGCCACCTGGCCCTCATTACTCTTAAGTGGTCGGGTCGGGGGGCGGGGGCGGGGGCAGGGGGAGAACGGCCTGCGTCCGCCCCCCACCCCTCCAAGCCAGCACTTTGGGGGCTTCACCACAGAGTGGAACTGAATTAGGCCCACCCCAGAGCCTGGAAGGGACGTCTGTGGGAGGCCGAGCCCAGCAGGGAAGAGACCAGGATGGGGGTGGAGGGAGGGGATTTGGGAGAGATGGGGGTCAGATTGTGGTCCATCCCCTGGGGTCCCTCCACCCTCCCCGAAAGGGACCTGGAGTATTTGCAGTTAAGACCACCATCAGTGCCCCTTTTCTGACAGGTGGTAGGGGTCACGGTGCCTTTCCCACCAGGCTCACCCTGAGAAGGACCCTCCTGACTCACCCACCTCCCCACACCCCAGGAAGCCTCTAGCAGGTGACGGAGCCAGGAGTATGCCGAGGGGACCCTGCGGGCAGCCAACCGGGCAGCCTGAGATCCCAGCTCTGCAGCCACAGGAGCTCCGGCTGCCCAGACCCCACCTCAAGGTGCATTTCAGCTGACAGGAGGCACCTGGGTCCTGGGTGGGAGGGGGTCGGGGTCTGGGGAGGGGCACCCAGCACGGGCCCAGAGCGAGGCTTGCAGCTCCTGCCCCACGTGGAGCAGAGACTCCAGGGAGGACGCTCAGGGCTGGGGGCAGGGAACGGCGGCTGATCGGGGCCCTAGGGGCTGGCTCGGGCGCCCCCGCTGAGGGTCCCCCACGCATCCCCATCCCTTCATCCTGGAACCCTCCTGGCTGACCGCAGGAATGTGCAAGATGGCGCCGGGAAGGCCAGCAGGCGAGGCGGGGTGGGGGCGGGGCGGCCTCCGCACAGGCTGACGGAGAGATGGGAGCATGTCCGGGCTCTTGGCATCATCACGTATGTGTTTTTACCCACTGAGCAAAATATACACTAAATGAGGCTCAAACGAGCACAGCCAAAGGAACGGCCGATTCTGTCCTTTCTTCTTAATCCCTTTGGCTTAGGGTTTCCCGGCCTGGACAGCCTGTCCGAGGGGAAAGCTGCCCAAGGGCACACGGGCATCCGTCCGGGGACATTCAGGCAGTGACCAATCCCCGGCCACCCTGGCATGCGCCCTGCATCATGGGCCATTTCCCAGCCTGCCAGTGGGGGAGCAGCCGCTGTGGGTCCCCGAGTCTTGGTGAGATGGTCAAGGATGGACCCGTGATGGAGACCAGCATGCAGCCATGTCCGGGAGTGAAGGAGGCGCACAGGCCAGCACAGAGGACATCTTTGCCGTCCCCTGGGCCAAACCATGAAAAGCAACCCTCTCCCCTCAGCCCCCAGCACCAACCTGGAGACCACCCTGGGCCGGAGCCCAGCATGGCCACTGCCTCATCTCGGCCATCCAGCTTGGGACAGGTCAGTTCCCAGACATCCAGGCTGGAGCTAGTCCTTGAAGAGCCTTGGAGTCCAGCCCGGCACAGGAGGGCCAGATGAGGGCCCTCTGTGGGCTCTAAGGATGCGACCAGGGGCTGGCTGGGGTGCCTGCCCTGGAGGGGGGTGATGCCTCCCCTCGGCGACCATTCACCGAAGGAGATTCCCTTTGGTGAATCTCCCTCTCTGAGGGCTGCAGGTTGCCCAGAGTCCCACCTGGAGATGGCTGCCCCTTCCGCCAGCCCCCCCAGCCGGGACCCTGGCACCCAAGTGTCCAGCCGTGGCCCCCGGGAGGAGCTCACCCCCACCCCGAATCAAGAAGTGTCCCCAATCCCATATAATTTCAGCCTATTTCCTCCCATCCTGGCTTCCCAGGAGGTAGGGAGCAGGCCCCTCCAGAGGCTCCCTAGCCACAGCAGGGTGCCCTCTGTTAGGCACGCTCACACCCGGCTCCCGCAAAGGCACCAGGAGTCTTGTCCTCACCCTCCACCTTCATCCTGCCCTCCCCCAACTTGGGCCTTTAACTCCACAACGCTTTGCATTTTGGGGGGCTTTCTCCCGACCCCCTCCAGTCCCGGCGCCATGGAGATGGGGTGATGGGGCTGTTATCCCGTCTGGCAAGAGAACAGAAGCCCAGAGAGGAGAAGGGACCCGTGGCCCATCGCGCTGGGGTCCACAGTGAGCTGCAGGGGGACGGGCCCAGCTGGCCCTGAGGGGAGCGCTGGGCGCCATCCCGGTGCAGTGGAGGGTCCTAAGAAAGGAGCGGGGATGAGGAAACAGCTCAGGCTCTCTAGAAATTTCCTCCAATCTCTTCTGACTGAGTTACTCAACTCCACTTGGCCCCGTGTGATGAGGGCCCCTTCGTCCAGGGTGGGGTGGGGGGCACCCACCTCTGGACCCCGGTCCCCAGCGCCCTGCCCTCAACCTGGTGAGGGGCTGCTCTGGCAGCTCCGGAGACCACCGTCTCCCCAGAGCCCCTCCGCCCTCCCTGCCCCCCACATCACCCAAAGGTGCTCCAGGCTCCTGTGGGGCTGCCGTGAGGGCAGAATGTGGCCCAGGACCCCCAGCCCCTCCGTACCCCCTCCCCACCGACAACCTCCGAGGTCAGACACATCTCTTCTAGTCTGTGCTTGCCACTGGAGGGCACTCCTGCTGCCCACGGGGTGGACGAGGGCGTCCAAGGGCAAGCGTGGCCGCACAAAATGGCGCCCGTCTTCCTTCCTCAGCAAGAAGGGAAGCCGCCGCTCTTTGTGTGGGTGGACACTGCGCACTCCCTGTCCACCCGCTGCCCCCCTCCTCGGCTCTCTCCTCTGCCCCGAG